ATTCACCAGCGTTATCAAGTCGAATTAACTTAATGGGATAATCTGGGAACTGTGCTCGTAACTTAGTTATCTGAGCAAGATATCTCGCAAAAGCTACATTCCGAGTAGATAAGAGACAAACATGTGACCATCTGGTGGATGCATCAACCAAAACCATAAAATATCGAAATGGTCCACAAGATGGTTTAATAGGTCCACAAATATCCCCTTGATCAAATACTCACTGACATTGTTGATATACCCTTCTTTGATCAAATACTCACTGAGACGATTATACCACATTCGTCCAGATTGTTTCAGCCCATACAATGATCGCCTTAATTTGATCGAGAGCATACCTCGTGGTTTGTTAGCTATTTCAGGCGACTTGAGTCCTTATAGGACTTTCATGTATATGTCAGTATCTAATTCTCCATATAGATACGCAATGATGACATCCATAAGTCGCATGTCAAGTTTTTCTAAAACCACTAAACTTATTAAGTAACGAAACGTAATTGCGTCCATTACAGGAGAGTATGTCTCCTCATAATCAATTCCAGGTCTTTGTGAAAAACCTTGTGCAACGAGTCGTGCTTTATATTTAGCAATCTCGTTTTTCTCATTGCGTTTCCTTATGAATACCTATTTGTAACCCACGGGGTTTACATCAGGCGGGGTTTGGACTACTGGTCCAAAAACACTTCGCCTTTCCAAGGAATTTAATTCTGCCTAGATTGCATCTTTCCACTTAGGCCAATCTTGTCTCTGTTTGCACTCATCAATAGAGCGGAGCTCAATATCATCACTTAATATGATTTCAGTGGCTACTGCGAATGCAAACATATCATCAATGATTATTTCATTCTGATCCCACAATTCATTAGTACATGCATAATTTATGGAGATTTCTTTGCTTTCATGTACTACTGTCTCTTCAGGGACATGTGTCTCATCAAGGACATTTTCTTCTTCTGGAAGTCTAGAATAATGAATTATGGATTTGTCATTCATTCTCTCTTCCTGAATGATTTCATTTGGATTCAGTTGTGCTCTCGTCTTTCTCTTTCGAGGGGCTGAATCTTTTGAACCTGGTGGTCTACCACGTTTCAGGCGTGCACCAGATGAATCATTCGCTGCCACTTTATTTTGTCTAACAGGGACATCAATTCTTGCAGGTGCATTTGCAGCTGGTATATGTGATTTTGTCACTTTCATAGCATCATTAAATGCATCTGGCATTTGATTGGCAATGCTTTGAAAATGAACGATCCTTTTTACTCATTTTCACATTGAATGCTTCGAGGATCAAAATGAGACAAGGTGGGAACAACCCATGTCAGCTATTTCCATTCTTCTGGAACGGTATTTTCTCCCCCTAACGACGAGAAGACTGTCTCATTAAAGTGACAATCAGCAAAACGTGCTGTAAACATATCACATGTCAAGGGTTCCAAATATCTAATGATAGATGGTGAATCAAAACCCACATAAATTCCCAGTCTACGCTGAGGTCCCATTTTAGTGTGGACATGAGGAACAAGGTGTTCAACATCAATGCCCAATGTCATGCAGTAATCATCAAAAGTTTGAGACGTAAATTCACCAGCGTTATGAAGTCGAATTAACTTAATGGGATAATCTGGGAACTGTGCTCATAACTTAGTTATCTGAGCAAGAAATCTCGCAAAAGCTACATTCCGAGTAGATAAGAGACAAACATGTGACCATCTGGTGGATGCATCAACCAAAACCATAAAATATCGAAATGGTCCACAAGATGGTTTAATAGGTCCACAAATATCCCCTTGAATTCTTTGCAGAAATGATGGGGATTCAGCATCAACCTTTAGTTGTGATGGTCTAATTACCAACTTCCCTTGAGAACAAGCCTTGCAAGGGTTATCATTTGAGATAGCAATGTCTCTGCTCAATAATGGATGTCCATTAGAGTTGGTAATGATCTTACGCATCATGGTGGATCCTGGATGACCTAGACAGTCATACCAAAGCATGTAAACTTTTGAATCAATGAACTTCTGGTTCATGACAGTATGTGATTCAATTGTCCTTATGTATGTATAATATAATCCACTCGAAAAACCACGCAACTTCTCTAATATACGCTTCTGGGTATCATTGGAGGTAATGCATAGATACTCCACATTTTCTGCACTTTTCGTTTCAATGTGGTATCCATTTAGACGTATGTCTTTGAAACTCAACAAATTTCGAGTAGATCGAGTAGCATACAATGCATTTTGTATGGACAATATTGTTCCATTTGGTAACATAATCTGGGCTTTCCCTGAGCCTTCAATTACATCTGAAGGTCCTGATATTGTTGTTACCCCTACTCTTGTAAGCATTAAGCTTGAGAAATACTTTCGATCACGAAGTATTGTATGTGTGGTTGCACTGTCTGCAAGACAAATATCTCCGCCATTTCTCATGTTCTGAGAATAACCACAGTTTTTATCTATGCTTTCTGAGTAAATGGAATCACAGTTAACAAACAATTTATAACAGGAAATTTTCATACCACTTTTATTGAATCTGAAAAACTAGTTTTAGACAACAAGTTCAGCATAATAAAAGTACATCAAACATAAACGATTTAGTCGGACCGGTATACTTCATTCCCCTTTTCCATAATGAAGTCTGAAACATCTAGGTGAGTTATGTCTAATTGCCCTGATAAATCAAACACTGGATCGGGTATATCTATTGGTTTAGCCTGGTCGAGAAAATTGGTCTCGATACCCTTCTCCTTGAGGGAGGCTTGATACAACTCCACCAGATGTTTTGGGGTACGACAAGTTCGCGCCTAATGCCCATTGCCACCACACCTATGACAGGCTCCTTCAGAGTTCCTGGGAGCATTGTTCATGTGAGTTTTGCCTTTGTGACGATTCACATTTTTAAAGCTTGGGCCAGAATTATGTCTCGGAACCTGGTTGTGAAACTGAACACCATGGTTCTTGTCTTTCCTATTCCATCAACCTCATTTGTGGCTACGTCCTCGTTTATGATTATCACCACCAGAGGATGTGGCGTTCACTTCGAGGGAAGTATCATTCACTTCTGGGAATGGTGCAGATCCAGTAGGTCGGGAATTATGGTTTTTCGTCAGGAGCTCATTGTTCTATTCAGCTACCAGGAGCACAGATATCAGCTGGTTGTATTCAGTGTAGCCTCGCACTCTATACTGCTGCTGCAGGAGCACGTTATTGGCATGAAATGTGCTGTAAGTCTTTTCTAGCAACATTTCCTCAATAATGGTATCCCCACAGAGCTTCATCTGAGAGGTAATCCTGAACAACGCAGAATTGTACTCTGCCACTGATTTGAAATCCTGGATTCTCAAGTGAGACCACTTATAGCGAGCTTTTGGAAGAATCACCGTTGTTTGGTGATTGTATCTGCTTCTCAAGGCCTCTCAGAGAGCTAACAGATCTTCAACCATTAAGTACTCGCTCTTTAATGCCTCGTCAAGATGACGGCGAATAAAGATCATGGCCTTCGCCCAATCTTGAGAGGATGAGTTGCTTTCTTCTCTGATGGTATCTCCAAGATTCCCTGCTTCCAGATGGATCTTGGTATCCAGTACCCAGGTAAGGTAATTCTTCCCGATAATGTCCAGGGCAGCATATTCAAGCATCGCCAAGTTCACCATTTTCTTTTCTGAAAGAAAATGAGACGTGTAAGAACTTGCAATAATATGTATTCCTAGATGAATATAATGTTAGAACTTCTGGTTCTTACAAATTTTTTTCATTTTGATCTTCAGGCCAAAATGATAAGCACTCGAAACTTCTGGCTCGAGATTTTCAGTGTGAATGAGAATGATGATTGTACCGCACCATTCTCATTGAAAGAATGTAACATTGAATGGGCGATTATTCCGCACCACTCAAGTAGCAAGAAAATTGAAATATGTAGAGCAGGGTGGGCGATTATACTGCACCACCTAAAATTGCAATGAAATTAAACAGCAGGTAAATTTAAATTTGCAGAGCAAGGTGGGCGATTATACTGCTCCACCTGAAATTTGCAGTAAAAGTAGATCTGCTGTCCAAGATAGGCGATGAGACCGCACCATCTTGGATTGCAGTAAGATGAAATTTGCAGTTCAAGTTTGGCGATTGTACCGCACCATCTTGGATTGCAGTAAAATCAACATAAATAAATACTGGGTTAGTAATCAATATCTAAACCAAACAAGTAATCAAAGATGTATGTAACCACTAGTTGGAGAACTATGAGCAGGCATGGAGCAAACAGTTCGTCGCGAGGGTATCCCGCGCAGTTGAGGCAGAGGAAGAAGATGAACAGGAAAAACCTTAGAGGAAACATTTTTTTTCATTCGACGGAGAGAAATGAGAGAATGATTTCTTTTGATGAATGTAAATGAGACATGGTTATATTTAGAGACTCGTGCTGATAACGTGTTATAAATATATCAAAGTTAGAGGGATAACCTTTTTGATAGGTGCGAAGCAGATGTAAAATATCACACTGTAATTAAAATACAAGGGGATAACAAATTAAGAGGGAGGAATAGATGATCTTATTGAACTTTCCTTCTTTCTGATGTATTCTCTCTGTATCATATTGCAGACATTTATAGAGCAGCTCCGATCAAACCCATTAATTGTACATTCAAAATTTACAGCATATACTTTGAAAATAGATGATCTCCTGCATCCAAAGTCAATTTCCTATTTGCATGGGTATTGAAAGTCTCTGTTTGTGGGCATTCATAACAATGCCACCGTTGTCAAAATTACCAATGTTTTCAACAAACCAACATTTTTACACTATTTAAGTTATTTGTTTACGTACTCCTTTTTTTTTTTGGGGGGGGTAAACAATTTGTTTACTCTTGGCGTTGCTTGTTGATCCCTCATTTGCTTAGCCAATTCAGAGAGTTTGTTGACATCTTGTGATTGTCTCTATATTTTAAAAGGTGTCCAAGTGCCTACTGATCAATTGCACTTCATGAAACTATGAAAGCAGCCGACTTTTGCTTAAGAGCCGTTAATTTTATCATATTTAACTAATATTTACACAATAACAACGAAATAAATTGTTATTAGCACTTCTAGATAACGAATGACAATAACAGCTCTAACAAATAATGTGTTGCGTTGAGTTGTCATAGTCGCCACAGCTTGCACACACCTTATCTTGTTGGCACCAACACAGTGATTAACTAGACCTTATGCAAAAACGCAACTTTCGTATATAACGGATTTTTTCTTGTGATTTGGAATTGGTCATTGTTTACTCCAAAATTTTTCATCCTCATCCCCTTCACCTTGACCCGTACCAGGTTGCATCCTCTGATAACATTATCTCTCGTAATTTCAGCACCACTCGTTTGAAACCATCCAAAAGTAAGTTTGATGATTCTGGGAGCTCCTCCATTTGTTATCTCTGTGTTTGGTTTTTATTTTTCTTGTTTTTTTTTTCCTTTTCCAAGAACAGGGAGTAGGGGGAGTTCGTGGCGAGATAGGGACTACGGTGATGATGGTTTGATGATCTAGGTTGGCCGGATAATGTGGCTTCGATGCATGTTGGTCGTGTGTGTGTCGTATGAGGAAGGGAAGAGAGGGATGGAGTGAGAGAGTTTTGGAGAATTCCAGAAATGAATGGAAGAGACATGAATAAGTGAGGGTGTCTCCCCCGAAACACACCACAAGAAAATTAAAATCCTCTCTTTTCCGAGTAATGTTATTCATACCATATTTTGTACTATATTTTTATACCACCTTAAGTAACATATGATGTAGACAGCCACATCATCTGAAAAATTTGCAAAACCCAAGGAAATGAAGGAGAAAGACTCCTCGTATACCACAATTATCATTTAATTAACTAATTTTTCTTAATTATTAGTTTATTAAATAATGAACTAAATTTAAAAATCTGATTAATTTAAATTATGTAACTGTCCACATCAAATACCACCTAAGGTGGTATGAAAATGTGGTACAAAAATATGGTATAAAGAGCAATACTCCTCTTTTTCTCTTTTAAATTGGGAATTGTTATTGACACTCCAAAATTCTCATTCTATACTCCAAACTTTCGATATTTAAAAAGAAAAATACACTTGTGAGGAGTGTAGAATGAGATTTTTGAAGTGCTAATAACACTTCCCTTTAAATTTAACATAAATTCTCGAAAATAATATAAAATCTCGTTAATACAAATACGTAGTTTACAATAGTGAAATCCAGTAACGGGATTTCATCGGTACAAACTTATTCTAATTTTATTTTTTATATTTTAGAAATGTTTGAATTGAAATTATATAGGAGTTTAACAAGGGTGTGAGTATTAAAACTCTAAATCAATTACTAATTTTTATTATAAAAATCATGTAACTTACATGTAATTCATTAATATATTAATACTAGGGACTTTGATCAAAATCTAAAAACTAATAAGGTCTTAGTCAATGAACATTAGAAACTAGGGACCGGATACTAATTTTTCTTAAATTAAAACTTAAAACTAAAACAAGAGTGCCCAGTTTGCGGGAGGATTCCAATAAGCGAGTATTTTGGTTAACTCTAATTGTATTGAGGAGCCCCGAATAACTAGTTAGTCTAACTAAAAACAAGCTACTTAATACTACGGCCTAGTTGTATTCCTCTTCACTTGTAAGTGTCTTAAGTTTGATTCTCACCAAATGCGAATTTAAACTACATTATTCTGTCTAACCCAGTGTGAGGCTTAGCCCACTCCCCCACTCCTTTAATGTAGATAATATCGTTTGTTAAAAAAAAGGCACAAATATTGGAGCACTCCCGTTGTACAATGCTCAACACACAACACTTACAATTCCTATGATGCTATTGGAACTGCTTGTGCAAAATTGACAATTCCTAATAAAACGCATGAGTCTAATGTCTTAAACTAATGTGTGTTTCAATTATAATATAGTCTAAGTTTATCTCTCATGTTCTCAATCACAAAAATAACAAGCGTGTCAGAAACATCTACTCAAATAAGTTTGTTATGTATATACATTCATGTATGTAGGCCTTACTTGGTATTTAACTTGATTTGATTAGGGGCTAATGATTGAGTGGCTGAAATATTTTTGGAGCAACCCAATAATCTTTTGGCACCGTGGGTGCCGCATATGCACGGTTTTTTTGGTCGGTGCTGCCATCTTTCGTTTTGAAAGAATTTACAAAGCGGCTGCACTATTGTTTTAAGTTAGAGAAAGGCTTAATTTTAAGGAAAACTAATGAAAAGTGTTTGAAAACTTTGAGTTTTAATGATAAGGACAAAATAAAGGGTAAAATGAATAGTACCAGGATTGACTTTTTAGTGTAAAAATGTGGTTTTTCGTTAAAGTGAACAGTACCAGGTGTTTTTCGTTAAAATTCCCTTTATTTTAACTATACTCCATGAAATGAAATTAGATTTTGATCTTATTTTCCTATTTTAATTTAAAAATCATCATTTTATTCCGTGAAATTCAAAATTCTTTTCACTTTGACTTGTATTTTTTTTTTTAAATTATAGATCGCCTTCTGAAACATTTGTTGGACCCAACACCAAATAAGATTATGCCACATGTACAATAAATTTGATTATAAATCTCTATTATGCTTTAGAATTTAACAATCAAAACATATTAAGTTTAAAAAAAAATTGAAGAGATGAAAATGACCCACATAAGAAATTAACAATCTAAAGCAACGTGTAGCGAATTATGAGACGACTTCGAGTTTTAGGGGATACAATGGGATCAAAATCGATTCCATAGGCAAAGCGGAGGGAACTTTGAGTTTTAAAGAGTAAACTGACAACTTTTGAGTTATAGGGAGCAAAGTGATCAAAATTGAGTTCCAATGAGTGTAGCTAAAAATAAGTTTTAGAGAAGTGCTAAGGCCATTTCCAATTGAAATGGCTAAATATAACCCCGTCTAGAATTATAGTCCTACAAAAAATTGTTTTTAAATGAATAGTGTCAGGTCATATTCATATACCATCTCTAATCGAAGGGGCTTAACATAGCTCCCGTCAATAATTTATTTGTTATAAGTTTATACTTTAAATTTATTAGTTAATATAATTAAACTATCGTTGGATGTTTTCAAATATAGTCATTGAATTTGAATTAATTATTGCAACTGAGTAGCTGGACAAAAAAAAAAGGGCTAAGATGGGGCTACATTTGGTTAGCCTGATGCCTTTTTAGCCAAATAATAGTCTAGTGGGCTCTATAGAATTATAGTTTAACCATCGGTTAAAGATGAGTTTTTTGACAAGTAAATCATTTTTTGGCTTTAAAATTTTTAACCTTCTCCATTAAAAATTATCTAAAAAGATTCTTTCAAAATAAAACTCTTCGTAAACTCTTTTGACATTTCAGAGTTCAACGTCAATAATCTCGCGAACATTATTGCCTTCACCAGCAAAAAGAGAAATCATTACTTTGAGGCTGCCATTGCGTTTTCGTGAAAGTGAAAAGGCTCCTGCATGTTTTTTAGTTCTTAGAAAAGCTTTTGGGGTCGGTATTTATTCATTTTGAATTCATTGGTTTTGGAAATGAGAGAAAAATGTGCTGTTGCTTTTGATTTTTGAACGAAGAGAAATAGTGGGCTGCTGCTTTTTGTTTTGACAGAAGAAAACAAATTTGGTGCTGCAGCTGCCGTATCACACTCACACATATATGCAGTGGCGGAGCCAGGAATTTAAGACAATGGGGTCAAAAGTTGAACTTCCATTACTAGACAGGGCATGCCGAAAACGCGGGTCTGACGATCTGGAGGTTGTCAGGCCTTAAATTCACGGTGGTGGGAAGATTTAGCAGGGGCTGGAGAAGAGGTGCTGATGGAGTGATGGCTAACAAATGGAGCAGCAGCTCCCGTTGGACCTTAAACTGCTTCTAGTTCCAAGGATCGACGACAGCAAGTGGAGCTCCAATGGATGAGTTGCTGCTGCATCGAAGAAGAAAGAAGAAAAAAAGGGTTTAGTCTCAACGGCTTGTTTTCAGTTTAAATGCTTTGTATGTGTGTGTGAGAGTGACAAGTGTGCATTCCAGATTAGATCGCTTAAAACCCCAATGAAGGGCTAGGATCAAATCTGGAGGAGAATGGGTGTAATATTTGTTTAAGTTCTCTTGTCCCCCAGACTCTTAAAAAAATGTTTTGGGAGTTGGCAATGCACCAAACCTTACAAACATTCCTTATTAAATGAAGTGATGGCATATGCAATTTGCACAGCCTTGTAGTCGTCCAACATCTCTGCATTCTTTGTTCCATTTTTCTGTCAAGTTCTAAACCCCAAGAAACTAATCAAACAAACACAAACAAACTTTATCAGCTCCTTCTTCTTCTTCTTGTTTGGCCACAAGGTCATTGGGGTCAAGGAATCCCATTGCCCCCACCTTGGCTCCGCTACTGCATATATGTGCACATGTATATTTAAGAGAAAATAATATTTTTTATGTTGTTTTTCATCGTGTTTTAAATAGAAATAAATTAAGAAATCTGTCTTGTTATTTGTGTAATTGGTTAATTTTTTAAAATTATTTTATTCTATACATTATGCATGATCTCGTTAGTATTTTGCAAAGTTCAAGAAGATGTTTGACGACAACGTTAATGTCGTGCCAATTCTCTTTGAATGCTGAAGAAAGATGAGTAGTAAAGCGCAGAGACAAAACTGTTTACTAATATGTATGTCTAGTTAATGAGTTTTGCAAGTCTTAGCGTACTCATTTATCTTATTGTTTGTTCTGGCATGAGAGCCCGAAGATTTTTCTAATATTGGGGTTTGCCTCGTTAAATCCTACATATTACGTGCACATTTTATTTAAACTTAAGCCTAGAAAAGATTGGAGCAATGATGAGCACAGTTGTAGCATTTAACCAAAGGGCTTCAAATACTTATTCACAGTGGTTTTGCCTCAACAATTCAATTACATAATTTTTTTATGCTTTAAATTAAGAAGGAATGAATAATGTTTTTTTGAGTAACAATACAACCCTAAAAAACATTGTGTTGCATTGAGTTGTCATAGTCGCCATAACTTGCACACACCTTATCTTGTTGGCACAAATCCGGCAATCAACTAGACCTTATGTAAAAACGCATTTGTCACATAGAACGGATTTTTTCTTATGGTTTGGAATCGGTCATTGTTTGCCAAGAGAGCAACAAGTTCCCCCTCAAGAGTGGTCCTTATTCTTTAACAAGAAAAGCCATTTTATTAGTAAGGTTGTTCAATAAAATTTGATACGTTAATTAAAATTCTTTATTTATCATAACTCTAAAAGCAACTCCAAATACAACAAGAACACAAAACAAGATGAATTCACGTTCGGAAGCATTATTGAGATAATTAAGTTACAAGAGAATGCCTCCAAATCAGTGTCGGACATTAACATTGGCAAGCTTCATGTACATCGACTCGCCATGCTTTGCAAATTGAGAAAGAGCATTACGAGATGAACCCCCTTCTCCCAAAGCCTTTGCGGCACTTTCTTTTAGCTTCTTCATTCTTTCCCTCAAAACAAAGCCTTTTTGGTCCTCCATAATCATCCTCACCATTTCCTCTATCTCTTTTCTATCCACCACTTTCTTCCACGGCGGTATCTTCGACCGCACCGCCACTTCGAACTCTTCTGTCAACAGCGTGGCGTTCACCCTCTGCTCCGCATGAAGCGGCCAAACAATCATCGGCACTCCATTGGTTAGGCTCTCTAGAGTTGAGCTCCACCCGCAATGCGACAAAAACCCTCCGACCGATGGATGGGCCAAAATCTCCACTTGTGGGGCCCAAAAAGGAATAACAAGCCCAAGGTCCTTGGTTCGGTCAACAAACCCTTCAGGCAAGTACTTCAACGGGC